CTTGCACATGAGAAACAACGCGCTGCAAGCAGTAGGATAGTCGAGCATTTTTCTGCACCCTAGCAATCAACAGGGGTTTAGAGTTGAAACCAAATCCGCATTGTTTTCACCTGCCTATTTCTTTGGCTAGCAGAATGACCTATATATAACTTTTTGCTGAGGGGTTCTGGCTTTGCAAGCACATTCGCTGTCGATTCGGCAGCAAATGAAGCCATCAGTAATCACTTGTAATTTGTACAAATGCAAAGTAAACAAAGTACAATGTGCCGCTTGTGGCATGTTCCTGTTTGTGAGATGCACATTTGTCGAGACCCTCTTGGTTCGACATTGGGTGTTGTCGGATAAAACTCTTCATTCGCCATCAAAAGACACTTAGGACTCACAGTCAACTACCCCTTACGCCTCCGAGACCAATACTATCCAACAATGCTCATGACAAACTACAGAAGTGAGGCCAGGAGCCCCTAGTAGCTTCTTGTTCCTAGTAGTGATGCCAGGAGCCCCTACATGGAAATCGAACTCCATGGATTCCATCCAGTTGTTTTTTTGGTTTCAAGACTTTGCAGTCACGTCTCATCAGCTCCATGAAGCCCAGCGGGCAGCATGGATGTGAGTGGACTACCCAGCCTCAAGGTGCCCATGTTTCCAACGTACAAGCAGATGCAAATGCTCATGTGCTTGTAATTAGCCTTTGAATTGTATGTCTTCTTCCGGAAGCTTGTTACAAAGCTCATTCAAATGCAGGAACAGTTCCAGGACTTCTTGGCTGGAAAGGAGTTCAAGACTGGTGATGCTGGCATCATCCTTGTGAGCACTGGATCGTTTCTGGCTTTCTTTGGCAGCCAAGGTCTTGTTTTCGATGAGAACGCTATACTGGAACAACTAGGTGTATCTTTGAACCAGGCCAGGCCTGTCAGGCCTTCGCATCGCCTCAAAATCATTCAACATCACACTATTCAATGTCAGGAAAGTCCGAGACGCAAGAAGAGAGCTAAAGCCAAGCAAAGGAGCTTGGGAAGCGAAAAGATGGATCCGCATTGATGAGGGCAGGAAGCATGCATGTGTACTGTAGCCAGTGTCAGGACATCAGAACTGAATCATATTATTACGAAAGCCAGCCGATAGGCTAGGCTTGAGCTTTTAGACCGAACGAAGTGAGTTAAGGGGGTGTGGGGGGGGTAGGAGGCGAAAAGGTGAACCCGGAGCTTGCCTGGAAAGAACGCTCCAGAGCGAGGGTCAGAAAAGCGGTGAAAATGGGGTCTGGTGATGCGAGTGATGCAATGGATGCCGAGCAGTGCATCATTAGCATCACGAAGGGCTGTGGAGGCTATTTGGACTATACTATACTTGAGAAGTCTGGTTGGATGTATTGGGGTCAGTATGGTAGTTGGTTGGCAGCGACGAGTGCCTATCAGAAAAGGGGCCCGTGTAGATAGCAACTTGGTGGGGTGAAGAAATTGGTGTTGTGTTTGAGGACTTGTTACAGCCACGGATCTATGCAATATTTTAGGATGACGCTTGGTGACACTCATGTTGAAGCATACAGTGCCTGCCATCGTCCTAGTAAGCATGTGTTACTTAGATGGTTTCTTCTTTTGACCGTCTCGTCTGGCGGCTGCTGGCTTTTGTTCCCCCCCTTCTCAGGTGTATATATATATATATATGATCCACAATTTACACAATCATTTTCAAGGATGAACCGCTATTGAATTGAGCCAGGAGAAAGAGCCAAGGTGCCACAACGCGAAGTGACTCGCCAACCCCCAAGACGCAAGATCAACCTACCCCTAGGCAGGGCTGATAAGTGTGGTGTTTCAGGTGATTAATTGGCTGAGAAGAATAGAGAAACAGTTGATATACTGGTTGTACAAATACTATATTTCAGTGTCTCAAGCTTTCCACTCCTACCAAAAGAATGCCAATGATTCAATAAGTTGAATGTGTATCGATCAACAGACTCAACCAGCAATTCTTTCGATGCTGCGGTCGGGCAGTTTGTCGAACCTTGCTATGGATATATTATTCGTCCATACATAAGTGGCAGCATCGTTCCTCGACCAGGATATACAATGCGGATCAATCACCTGGTCCTTCGCAAGCTGCGAGGAGGACGGACGGATGCGTCCAACCTAGAAGCAATGGCCTCCAACCTATATATATATATAATAACGATGGCCTCCAACCCAAGAGCGACGGCCTCCAACCTAATAGCGATTGTTGAAATGGCAAGCTGGCCTGACTGAGGAGAAAGTCTCAATCAGCTCAGCCTGCACAGCGCCCAAGCGAAGAACCAAAGAGGACGGAGCTGTATGAGAGCCGCAAAAAGGGTCGATGGGATCACGACACGCCTTAGTAACAAGAAGCTACTAGTAACAAGTGCATCGTTTCTAGTAACAAGTGCCTTACTAGTAGTAACAAGAAGCTATTATTTAATTCTAATAACTTCTTGTTACTATTAGTAAGGCACTTGTTACTAGAAGCGATGCACTTGTTACTAGTAGTTTCCTCTCAAAAACTTTGAAATACTCTTGCGAAGTTTGCATGAAGCTGTTGATAATCATGGATGTTGGAGTGGAGTTGTTCATTTCAATCCTTCACAATTGCATCTCACGGTAATCTCCTTTGCTGCAGGAAAAAGACTGCTGCTTGTCCATCCAAAGCACCCGAAAGGACAGGAGAAAGCATTGCCAATATCTAAGGATGTAACAACCCCAAACAAGGTATGACGGCCAAAGGTTCCCTTCTGCCCTCTTTTCGATGGAACATTTTTGGTAAATTCAGATTTGCGGCTTTGCAATTCTATTTTTGGTAACCTTGCAATTTTTCCATCAAAAGCTAGTTTTCCTTTCAGAAAGTGTTCCGTGCATTCTTGTTTCAGCTACCGCGCTGTTAACGACCAGATGGCAAAAAAGCAAATTTGTGCTTTATTTATACAACTTCCCAATTGGCTTGGTTCTTGACATCGTGTTCTTAACAGCATTGGGTGGCCGCGGGGTTGGGAGGGGTGAGAGGGGTGGAGGGGCGATACAAAGTGCAATTGCAGTGGGATTCCCGTGGAAAGAACACTGTCTCGAGAGTGGTCCACCGGACGTGCACGGAAACAGTGACAAGTGCTATGGCGCGAGTGAAGGAAGCGGTTACTGTATCTTCCATGGGCTTGAGCCAAACATGTCAGTCATGTACATTGAGTGTGAGACCAGACAGGGGTTATAGTCATCAAAAGGCAAAAGGAATGACGAAGCAAACACAATTTTCCTAACTTCTGTGCATGAAATTGCCTTGGTCGTTATCTTCATGACTAAAGGTCGTCCTTTATACTTTAAAAAATTGACAACCACCGAGGGAATCTGAAGGATTCGCTCGCCAAGTTTGCTGCCCGGCGGAACAAGTTGTTTGAGAGGAAAATGGTCGCGCAGACTTTGAGTAATTGAAGTCATCCCCGAAGAGCGGCTTCGAAGCGCGCGCTTATCCAAAAAACTCACATTATTAAATCCACAGTTCCACTGAGATAGAAAGAAAAGGACCTCAATACAGTTTTAAACATGGGACGAAATGAGACACACTACTTCCTATGTACTTCTGAAATCTGTACACCTCTCGGCTTTCCCTTTGTCACTGCGACGCGCTATTCTGAATCCTCCAGGCCTTTAACTGTGCCGGTACCTTGTTTCATCCTTTTTTCTCTAAACTGCAGCTTTCTTTGCAATTTATTCTAAACTTGTTCGCCTTTCAGCTTTCCCTCTACTCTAAGCACTATATTACTTGTCCTTTGGATTTTCCTTGTCCCTTAAGAGACGGCTTTCCTCGTTGGTGAGGCAAACCCTTGGTCCTTGTCGCTAGCTAGGATTCTGAATAAGTCAAAGTTGGGGAAACAGTCGTTGGCCTCAAGGCCACCATGCTCTTCCTCATCAAGCCTGGCGCCAAGGTGTCCCTCACTATCAACCCTAGTGTGACCTTAAAGATACCTGAGTTCCCTTGGTGAAACTAAGTGAAGCTGGTAGGGTTGTCACCATGGCAAGACAGTGGCCAGTTTAACAACCGCCTTGCCTTTAAGCCTAGCTGCCTAGCTGTCCTTTCAACCCTTCCAATCCTTTTTGCTTTTCAGTCCTTTTATCAAGTTGGTTTCTATTGTGTGCATAATGTTGATACAAAAGTAAGAGGGGTTGACAGGGAAATTGAAATGGGCGAGGAAAAGGTAAATTTGATGGAAGCTCTTGAGACCACCGCAGAAACAATTCTTTTTTGTTCTAATCACAGTGTTTTCACAATGCAGCCCCAAGGACCGAAGTGCAAGCGCCCTGATTTTGTTTCCAGTTTTGTTTCCCGTGACCTTTTTACAGTGCAATTCCTAGAATAGAAAGTCGCTATTTTCATCAGCTAGACAGCGGATGGCCCGAGAGCGTTTAGGTGTGGAGTTACTCTGGCGCAAGGCGTGTTTGACTGATGATGAAAGTGTAAGGCCAAGAGAGGCGAGACAGGGTGAAAGAGAAAGTGAAAGAGAGCGGGAGAAACGGACTGTAAGAAAAAAACTGAGAGGTGCGGCGGAGTTTAACAACAAAAGTAGGTGGATTCGGGTCACGTAGGTATTAGCCCTTAGCCCTTTATGTTACTGCATTAGCCGAGAGCATCAGCGCTTTACTGCAAAACACCAAATGAGACAGCGTTGGATTTACGTAGAATCACCAAGGTCAATTGAAGGGGTTGAAATTTGCAAACTCTGTCACCTTCTGTACAAAGGTGAAGGCGAATGAAATTATGAATCGAGTAAATAGCTAGGGATAGGTGTGGTTCTCCTGGCCACGGGGGTTGACACACACAATCAGACGAAGTCGGCGCGCCTAGGAGGAGGAGGAGGAGTGGTAAAAAGCTGTCATGTTTGGAACCATACCATGACGACAACAAATGTAACAGCAGATCGTTTTCCCTCGAGGCCGCAACGCTGCAGCGCAGTAAGCTGTAGGGTGGCCTTTTGCCACATATAGTTGAATGAGCTGTTGAGTGGTGCGGTGTGCATTGTCTTGTGGAAACGTGTGCTGTTGAAGTGTGTGATGTCTGTATTGCAGGCCTGATAATCTGAGTCGGAAGCTTCCAGCGGAGTAACGGTCGCGAATCTGCCAAGGGTGTGTGGGAGAAGCTAAAATGTTACGGTGCGTGCTAAAGTGTCAATATGGAAGCGGAGGAGATGATCGCCCTCGGCCGATTCGATCTCCACTGGGTGTCCGTAAAAGTCTGGATGGGCAAGTGTAAGAATAGGGAGGGATTGTTGATGAATGTCGTTGAGAAGGATGTACCTGTTGTCCACGTATCGTGTGTTGAGGAGGTGCAGAGGTGGTTGTTGGAGGAAATCATGGTATGTTTGATGCCAAGCGTGCTCCGTCAGGGTGATGGCGACGTTGCAGAGGGCTGGCGAAAGTTGGCTGCCAATGCTCGCTCCTTGGGTTTGTTGACAGTAAGTGTGGCAAGCCTGGAAAATGTATGTGTGGAGTGCTTGTTGTACAATGAGTGGAATGTGGGTGGTGCCAATAGTGCGTTGTTGTGGGTGGTGAATGTAATGATGGCCGAGGTGAGAATGTTGGATTGGGTTGCCTGTGGAGTGGACATCAATAGTGAGAGTGGTGCGCACACACACACACATCTCCATGTAGCCTGAAGTCAAAAGAAAAGTCTTTGTAAGAAGCCGGAATCCTTGTATGACACGCATCCTTGAGACTATGCTTACAGGACACTCAAAGGGTAAAGAGACTTCTGAGATTATGCGACAGAAAAGTTGTAACAACGGTGAGAAGATCAGGAATTGAAAGGCCACTGCTTCACCATGCAATTCACCTCTAGTGATCCTGCCGCTGATGCAGATAGATGCAGGTGGCAGGGGGCCAATACCACGATGTGACCTGCGCCCATTTTCGATGACAGGTACACATTTGGCAAAAGCTACCTCAGTTTTCGGCAACAGTTACACACTTTGGCTACTTCACATTCGTTTTCGACGACAGTTACACACTTTGGCAACATCCACCTCCGATTTCAACGACAGTTACACACATTGGCAACATTCACTCCATTGTCAGCGACAATTACGCACTTTAGCAACGCCCGCCTTTGTTTTCAATGACAGCTACAGATGTGAAGATGACAGATTTGCGGATGTGAACGTGTGCAGATGATGATGATGATGACGATGACGATGCTCAGACGGTCTCGGGAAACATGTCGCCCAACAAAGGTAACTGTTTTAGCAAAATTGAGTTCTCTACTCTACTTAGTCGTTGTTATAGATAAAACGTAAAATATATATATATATATACACGTTCCTTAGTGGACTGTTCTTTCTTAGTGCTTGAAAAGCGTTATATATATACATAGGAGCTGAGGTTTGGTATCGAGGCCTGGAGACCTCAACACCAAGGAAAAATGTCAGCGTGAAAACAGATGGTTAACACCCTGGAGATATACATTTTTCATGGTGCTGGAGGTCTGGGCGTGATTCACCCGTGCTTGAGGTCTCCTGGTGCTGCGTTTTCTCAAAGCAAAGGTGGCATGATGACGAGTGAGCAGATGAACAAGCAGCGCAAACAGCTAAACAAGCTAACTCGGCAAACATGGGGAGGGAGAGAGAGAGAGAGAACCAGGTGGCACCCACTCCACTCCTCCGGACTCCCATGCGCCTACTGTTCCGTGTGCTTGGCGTCAGAAGCTTCAAAAATCCAGTGGAACGGCCGAATCAAGGTTAAGAGAGGATTGTGCAAGTCGCGTGCCACTATGTACAGCACGAAATCTTCACTTGTCACTTCCTTGAGCCAACTATATAGTTACAGTATAAACCATATAAACGGCTAAAGATGACGCCGTATGGGTTTGCGTGGTGGGGTCAGTGCCTCCGGTCGCTCCCCGATACGGTGCATGAGATCCTTGAGAAGAAAAGATGCGCGCCGATATCTTGAGTGGTTCGAGGTATAGGACTTCATAACAGGACTTTATAAGGTGACTACGCTGTGATTGTTTTGGTGAGCCTTCTCTAGGAAACTATATAAAGCACTTGGCTCATCCAAACACCGAACACATCAGTTCCAGAAAGCTTCGGAGCCTCAGACCCCAAGAAAAAATAACCGCCAGAGCCTCTGACACCATGGACTTCATACATAAAGTCCTGGTGCGAGGGTTCAGCTGTCCAAGCAACGTGTACTATATATTTCCATTTTCCCAGCAGTTTTCTTTCTGCTGGCTGTCTTCAAGGAACTTGAGAAGTCCTCGTCCTTCTTCAGCACCAAGGACGCGGATATTGAGAATTGACAAAACATCTTACAATTTTGTGCCAAACACCACATTTGTTTGGTCCATGAGGCCTTGTTCTAAGGAAGAAGTACAACCAGTCGGCTGAATGCACGAAGTAGGCCTGGGGGATTTGCCTCTGTCCATTTAAGTTTTTAAAGTCTATTTTGCATTTGCCCACAGATTGATGTTCGACGGCCAAGTCTATTTCCCTTTCATCCTCGTACTTTATAGGACAGTCTTGAACAGTAGCCACTGCCGCTGCCTCCGATCGATGCAATATGTTGGCCCTAGCTCTTTAGATTGATTGCGCTATGCACATCAAACTTGAAAGCCAGCTACACATTGTGCACATCCTCTCATGACACAGCTCTTTGACCTGTAGATTAAGGGTTTGAGCACACTTGATCCGGGCCAAAAAGGAACATGCTTTCTATCTAGCAGGGCGGCACGGCACAGCTAAAATGACGGAGTTCCGCAAAGCCTCTGCTGCAGTTGAGACGATTGAGAAGCTAACGGAGGATTTGAAGCAAGGGGCAACGCTAGCGGCCGGGGGTCATTTATCAAATGAGCTGCACTCGTGCTGGGTTGAAACGCAGAAGCATTTGAGTGAATTGTCTCCACTTGCAGAGAAAATGCAGCGCCGTTGTGATGCAAGAGCGCAGCTGGAAAGCATCAAGGAAGAGTTGCGAGCTTCAATACCTGGGGCGCCTGAAGACTGTATCAAACAGGCACAAGAGATGGTGGACACCAAGGCTGCTGGCTATGAACAAATGCAGGGCATGCTGTCAAAAGCACTGGAACTTGAAGCGATTGCGACTTACGGCGTCAAAATGGCTGAAAAGGTGAGCGGTGTGCTCACGAGGCTAAGTGTGGCCAAGGAGACCCTACAAACTATGACCCCTGTGTTTCAGCCTTTGGTAAGTCAGCTGGATGAGAAGGTGGCTGCAGCGCAAGCCGAACGTCAGAAGCAGGAGGCGGCTGCCAATGAAGCAGCTGCCAGAGAGGCCGCTGAAGCGGCCCGAAAGCCCTTGGAGGAACTCATGGAAGAAAACCAAAAGAAGTGGCAGGCACAACAGGCAGCAGAAGAAGCTGCCAGACTAAAGCAGGAAGAGGAGCTTCGCGCTGAGCAGCAGAAAGAATTAAACAGACTAGCTGCGGAAGATGCATTGCTTCGCATGGAAAAGGAATCTGACGCAAAAGTTGCAAAGCTTGGCGCCAATGCTGCATGTGCTGAGGCGCTGTCATCCATGTTGGCGGCTTCAGTGGGTGCATACCGTGGCATCATTGAAGGTCTCGAGGCAATGATTTCTGCCATTGCAGCAGAGCCAGCTGATGTCCGATTGAGGGTAATCCGTGTTCGCAATGAGGACTTTCAAGAACGCCTAGGCCGACAGCCGGGTGTGTGGCTTTTTCTGCGAGCTGTAGGATTTCAGCAAATGACACGAGAGGATTTGCCCGGGGACTTAGTCTCTGCGCTGAGTTTGTCGTCAAGTCCTCCAACTGAGCGCTTCTTGCTCCTCATGGAGCCGGACATGATGAATGCCTATGATGAATGGTCCAAGTGGCACCAACGGCTGCGGGCTGTCGCATCCTTCCTGCAGGACCTTGGGAAGCTGGCATTCCATCGCATTGCACATTTGGGTCGACATGGACAAGACTTAGTAGTCGGTGAGATCCTGTCAGCCAAAGAGCTGCTAGCAGCTTGGCACAGTAGCGTTCCCAGCTGACAAAAGTCCAGTGAACCAGTGAGCAGTGAGTTGCGGTTGTGGCATTCTTTCTTCACCAGGGTGTTTGGAGTCATAAAGAGCGTCGAAAAGGTCACCCGCTTATGCTCGATCGCCAGTTGCTACAAGACATCGTGAACCATGCCCAATGAACGCGTTGTGACCTTAGTTTCTTCTATCAGTCACAGTACATCTCCTTCGTCAATGAGGTCCTCACTGATCCTCGCTGATCAGTATTCTGCACCACCATGTAGGTGTCCTAGTTCCTCGCAGAAGCGACCTTTGTGCAGCTAGCCGGGAGGATTGACCTTTGCGAAATCATGAAGCATTTGAGAGCTGGAGCAAAAAGGTTGTCTTAAGAGTCTCATGGGAGTTTTGCTATGAATCGTTTTGTTGCACTAAGAACGTTTTCTCCTGTTCTCTCAACTGCAGCCATGAAGGACAAAGCAATTGACGCTGCATTGCATATATGGACGGGATGGATGGCCTTGGAGGATAGCTTTGCCCAAGATGTTTTGAAACTTACTGATTGCCTAACGTACAGCTGTTGTACAGCTGTTCTCCGAATTGACGTACATTTCTGGTGTTCCCTCTTGACCCTCCTTGGATCATATTCCAAGCTAGCTGCTCTCAGTCTTCTGCCTTTTCTTCCTCCAATGGTCTTCGCAGCCACAACAGCGACGGGTATGCGCAATGCTCCATTGCAGCTTTGCTTTGAGACAAGTCAAGACATTTCATGAACATTCAATGGCTTGCTAGCAGCAGCAACAGCAGGGTCACAAGCATGTAGGGCTCTGTGTGTGTGCCCCTTGAAATCACAGGGATCCTGTCGGATTGTGATGTTTCTGCTTTTTGTTTTTTAGCAGGGGGACACGGCGCCAGATTGCAGACCGTGTCTTAACAAAGCTATGCAATCTGGTGGGATATCCAGCTTGGCCAGCTGGACGTACCTGCAAATTTTAATCTTTTGGTAAAGTGCCAATGCATCTGCAGTCACGCACGTTACGCCGTCATCCTGTCGGCTCGTCGCATCGTGGAGTTTGACTTCTGGCCTTTAACTAAAGGCGCGCAGTCCCCCTCACCGGGTTTTTCAGGACTTGGTTTCTTAGGCCGGCGTGTGGCACCGCACTCACATCAGTACGCATTTCTATAAGTGTGTGTTTTCTTACTTGCACTCTGCAGTCACGCACTCGCAGTTCGGTCTTGCCGATCTTGAGACTCGATGAACTCCGTGAATTCTTGGCCTCCTGGACCTCGAAACCTTGACCTTTCAGGATGCTTAGACCCCCTTACATGGTTTATTGAGGAACTTTTTTCACCTAGGCAGCCGTGTGGCATGAGGCATTCAGTTCAGTATTCATTTCCCGTGTGTGTCGAGTTGGCTATGAAGCATGCGTGTCTCGAACTTGATGTAACAACAACGCCTTAAAGATAAGCCGAACATCAAGTTAATTTTAGCTGCAGAAGTAAGTAAGGAAGGAAGGAAGGAAGGAAGGAAGGGAGGGAAAAAGGAAGGAAAGAAGGACACAAGGAGACAAGAAGGAAGGAAAGAAGGAAACAAGGAAACAAGAAGGAAGGAGGAAGAAAGGAAGGAAGGAAGGAAAGAAGGAAATGCAGGAAAGCCATTTTAATTGTCGACATTGGTTTTGCAGATTCTCGAGAGGTGGTTGTTTCTCAGGAACACAATTGCCACAGACCTCCATCACCAGTTCAACAACCCATTTGGTTCCAGATGACACCGTTTTCAGAATTTTCAACCTTTCCTATGTATGCATACTGCGAAAAGAAATGCAAATCGCAGCGTGAAAGTTTGCAGTGCGCGGTTTCCTCTTCCATGCATATGGACAAGGATGGATAGTTTTGCCTTGCCAAACCTTTTGAGTTTGTTGCCATATTGCAAACTTTCATGTGTTCGCTCAAGATTCAGCACAACATGCATTTATGAAATAGTTAGTGATATCAGTGATATTTGGAAACAAACTCAGTCTTGCAGACACTGAGGGCGGGTCGAGTCAGTAAAACTGTGGCAAAACTAAGACATGACATTTTGAGAGATGTGGCACGTTCACACATGACAGCATCATTTCGGGGAAGAAATGGATACGTTTCAATAAATGCAACCGTTACGTGAAGAAACGCAGTTCATAGCACACTTGTGTGAGCCATGAAAAACTGGACGGAAAGCGTCAAGGCACATCAGTTCATGCCCATAGATCTCCATAGTAGGACTTGCTTGTTTGCCAGTGGCGCTGTAACTTCTTTGATATCTTGTGTTGCAGGTGGAGGAAGAAAATCTACAAAAATACCTCTGCTTGGAGCCCAGGTTGCTGTGGATCGACTCGATGACATAGGATCATGAAGCAGATGCTTGAAGCGGTTGGAAACCACCAAGGTCAGAAGCAGCATACTGTTGTCCTCCAAGGGGCCGTGCACACCTTGAAGCACACGCTTGTGCCAGATGCTTGTGCCAAAGACGGGCGTTTATGGCAGATAGCTTGTGGAATAACAGGCTCTTGGTGTGCCATACTTCTTATGCAATGTGGTGGTGTAATAGCGGTGAGAACGGCTTTGTTTGCTCAGCTTGCTTGGGTGGTGGAGGCTGAAGACCTTGATCCATGAATTAAGCAAACATGCTGAGAAATCTCAGACAGGCTGTGTTGCAAAAACGCTTTGCAAAAGTGAGAAACTCTGGCTCGAAAGCCACAGCATGAGGGCCCCTCGATAACCACGTGATCCAAAAAAGTTTGGGGTAGCAACATGTAGCATCCTGTTTGGAAAGTGTACGCTACTAGGAGCAAAGGGCATCGCTACTAGGAGCAAGAAGCTACTAGGGGCTCCTGGCCATACTACTAGGAGCAAGGACGCTACTAGGAGCAAAGGGCATCGCTATCAGCCCTGCGCTACAGAATTGGTGAGAGTGCGTGGGTTTGTAGAAAGTGTGTTCACCCATTCCTCCAAGACGAGATTGCTCAGCCACTCGCAAAGCACACCGGATGATGATGAGCTTCCTAGTGCTGTCGTTTGCAGATGATGTCGTTTGGTTTTGTAGGGATGGAGGTGAGTGGAGAGCAGGATTTTCCTTGCATATTCTTGCTGTCGTTGCTCTGCAATGTTGCCACATGCAAAGGCTGCAGATGTGCTTCCGTCTTGCAAGAGGTTGAAAAGGTAAAGTGAAGCCAAGTGCAAAGGAATGGAAGAAGGTGTAGACACTGTCGAATTTGCTCGAGGAACCTTTTGTTTCACACCGAACATGTGTTTCATAGTAAAACAATTCCTGAAGATAGTCAGCTAGCCGGCTGTGTGAAGGCAAAGAAAGCAAGGGAGATAGAAAGCCCACACACACACAAACAATGTCTTTCTTCTGACCTTGCAGCGAATCCGTTTCTTCTTGGAAGACACGAACATAGGGTCGGAGATGATAGATGTTTAGGTTTACTTTACTCAAACTGTCCACGAATCGTTGCTGGCTTGATAGCGTTTGTGCATCGAATGGGGAATGTGCAGCATTCATCCCCGAACTAGGGAGTAAAAACGAGCTGAGTTTGCACGTGCGCCCATAGAGTCTTGGAAGCAACAAAACAATAGCAAATACAGTAAGGAGGGGTCAATAACATGAGCTGCCAGGATTTGCCAAGTCACTGTTCGACCAAGTACTACCAGCAATGGCACGTGCGTTTCTGCCTGAGGCCAGTTCCCACCACAAATGCTGATGGCTTTTTACACTTTGGCGACATGCTGATGCTGCAAAACGTAAGGTGCTCAGAGCACCTAACAGGACAGCGAAAGGTCAAGCCGTGAGAAAGACAACGAGGATTAACTTGCCTGTTGCAGGCATGCACGCGTGGTTTGCTGCAAGTTGATGCGATGGAAACTACAGCGCCTGTGGCAGCAGCTTTTTGGACTGCGAAGCGGATTGAAATCTGTCATAGGATTTGTAGTACTGTAATTGTATGCAATGCAGTTGATGGCATCTTCGCATATTTATATACACAGAGGAGGATGGGTTATCATCAGTCCTTAAGCCTTTAAGGGTCAATGCACTGGCTGCTCCGCCAAGTTGCCAAGGGCGACATAGTAGGTTGAGGTTGAGGCGGATCATGAGGTGGTTGAGGCTGATCATTGATGATTGTCGCAGAATGCTGATTTGGAGGTTGACAGGGTCCCTGTCAAGCGCGGATAATAATACTGGGCAGAGGTTCAAAAGCCTTTTCAAACAATACAAGAAGGCAGGACCAAGATTGCCCTGGCTGTGAGGTGGATACTGGATCCGCTGAGGCAAGTTACGTGGAACTTCACTGTGGAACACAGTTTTTGACATACTGTGAAATACTGAGCTTTTGATTCGCTTCCAGGTGACTGGTTATGGACTGTCAACAGGCAGTGTAATTTCCTCGTATCCAAGGACCACTTACAAGAGCACAATGGCAGAACTTCTGCCATCTCCGACCTCAAGTTTCCCTAAAATTCTAGGAACCAAATGAATAGTGCGAGCGTGTATGAGCGTGAGCTATCCTGCGTCCTAGGTATATTAGGGTAGTAATAGCTACTAGCTACCGTTAACTTCTACTAGCTGCCTAGCTACTACCTCCTACCTCGGCCTACCTCCCCTCCCCCGGCAAACAAACTCATTTTTGTCAGGACCAACTTCACTATTTGCCGTGTGGACGACAACGATCGCTTTGGAACCGACGACCGGATCCACTTTGGGCAGCTTATTCGTTTGGGGACCCTCGCTTGGCAAAGAACCCCACAAAAACAAGCCGCAAAGAAACACACAAAGACAAAGAAGACAAAGATGTAGATGTTTGAGTCTTGTACTCAGCTTGCCTATTGTTGATCTTGTTTGCTCGCAGAGGACTCATGAAGCTTTGCACGAACGACCTCATTATCTTTTTGCAGCCGCAAGCCACTCCGCTGCAACGACTTTGCATAGTCGAGTCACGACTCAACATACTGCCATAGTGATGCTGACTTATGCTGACTTACATGATGAACCTGCACCTGTTTTCGTAGGTCGCTCCAAAGAAGAGGCACAGAGAGTTCCAAGAAAGTTGGAAACATAGTAGCAACTTGCAACACAGGTGGCACGACAGGTTTAAGTAGGCACAAGCTGCCAGGGCCAAATCAGCATTTGTCCACGAGCAGCTCCGGGATCGTGATCTTGGCATGGACTTCTATGCTGCTTGATGAGAGACACCCGATCCTGAAGAGTGCTCAATTGTCACAGGCATTGGCGCGTGTGCAAAGTCAATGCCCAAAGTGGCAACGACTCCAGGACTCAACAAGTTGTTTGACTCAGTATACACATAGGCAGCTGCTTCCGCACAGGGAAGAGGAGGAGCC